ACGTGGATAGACGAAGATAACAAGGAAAAGAATGAGGAGGAGAAGCCAATATCTGCCATTTTATGCAAATCTTTTTTTTACACACTTCGTATTCTTTCTGTTATACTTCTTGTTTTTCAGTCGTGATTTGTCCGTCTGTTTTCTTTATTTCACTCATTCATTTCGATTCCAGGGAAGTAAAGTGAAGAAATATTGTGTTTTAAAGATGCATGTCGTAAGGTGCAACTAATGTGGTCTGGTGAAGTGAGTGAGTGAGATTAAACCCCACTAGGACATCCACCAAGCGATAAACACCCGGTGACGCAAAGTGCCACAATTTGGAAAAGGATCACTTGGGGAGAGGTCCCATAAATCCCGTTCAACCCATAGGTTGGGTTATATTAAGTGCCCCGGCAACAGCCAGGGTGGGTGCTTTAAAACAACAAATAACTGCGTCACACATTGGGACGTATAGGCTCAAGAAGAAGAAGAAGAAGAAGAAGAAGAAGAAGAAGAAGAAGAAGAAGAAGAAGAAGAAGAAGAAGAAGAAGAAGAAAGAAAAAGAAGAAGAAGAAGAAGAAGAAGAAGAAGAAGAAGAAGAAGAAGAAGAAGAAGAAGAAGAAGAAGAAGAAGAAGAAGAAGAAGAAGAAAGAAAGAAAAAGAAAGAGAGGAAGACTATTTCATATTATCTTTTTATTTGTTGAATTAGCAATAATGCAAGGGATATAATAATAAAATGTTAGTGAACAATATCAATTGAATGTATACAATATTATTGCCCTTGGGTTGACAAGGAAGGTAATTTAGTTAAATTCTTTTAATTCAGGGTTACTCCCCCATGGCCTCCAAACAGAACTTTGATCAAGGCCAAGGAATGTTCTAGAAAATAGAGAAATATTTAGTGTGTTTTTGTGTCTGTCTGTTTGAACTGATAAGGCTGGGGTGACTCCCGAACTGGATATACAGTCTGCATTGACTTTGTTGATCGTGTTAGACGTACGGACACATTGAGATGGTTTTGTCAGGTCATGATGGCAGCTACCGTATAGATCAGAGTCTCCAGTGGAGTTGTTGTTGATATCGACGTCCAATCTTTGGTTTCTGCAGCTGGAGCTGTCCCGAGCCTTGCAGCTTAGATCTAAAATGTGGTTTGGTTCTTGCAGGTGGGAAAATCTTTCACGACCATCGGAATAGGAGCTGGGAATTACTTGCGAAACTGTCTTTGGCATACATTTTACGGAGTTGTACAAAACGTCGGTTTTATTGGATGAACCTGGAAGATGAATAGAGTGTTGGACACGAGTAGTTTCGTTAGCTGCTGCATTCTTCAGTGCTACAGGAACTTGGTTAGATATGTTTAAGCTTTCATTTCGGGACCACATGCTATGGTCGGTTTCTTTGAAAGAAGATGGTGCTTTGTTTCCAGAAGTAGCCATTCTAGAACCATCAGAGAGAAGGATACAAGAATCGTCTCGAGATGCCAGTCTCATATGCCCTCGTGAATTTTCAGAATCGTGAGGATACATTTCACAAAAATTGTCAATTTCAACAACAGACTTATCATTTACAGTGTCTGGAAGATAAGAGGTGGATACTTCTTCCACTTCTTTCTGGGACGCTGGTTCCAGCAGTCTGTATGCGGGTACTTGATGTTCTAATGCATTGTGTTCCATTTGTCTCTTCTCGTGTAGTTTATAATCTGGTGATAATTTATGTCCTGTTATTTCGTTTACCTGTAAATTATGTTCAAGTATTTTGTTTTCCATTTGTCTGTAACCAAGTAGACTGTTTTCTGGTGGTTTAACTTTATCTGCGCCATTGTCTAAATCGGAAAATGTTAAGCCTGCAGGTAACTGGGTGACGCTAGGTATATTGTCTGCCGTTGCTCTAATGTTCTTTTGTGAGATGTCTTTAGCTTGGTTTTGTTCATCTTTTCCCAATAACTCTTGGTGTACGTTCTGGGAATTACTATGAATAATATTTTCAGAAATCTGGCCTGAAATGCTTTGAAAATGGCTGAACATTTCCGGTGACTGTTGAACTGGTTGTCTGGTGACATTTTGATGATCTTGAGAATGGAGTAGATACTGACCAGACGAGCTTTGTCCGAGGGATAAAAGCGTATTGTTTCCTGGCTCGTGTTTGACTAAAATTCCTGGATTGAGTAAAACAGAGACGGGATTCACTGGGCCGGAGGTGAAATGGCTCATTGTAGTTTGGTTTTGGGGAATCATGGATTGTAAGCTCAGAGTTGGGACACGGTTGCCTGACATGACTGGTTGGGCAAGTCCGATTTCGGCAGAGGAGGTCAGTGACGTAGGGTGTTTGTAGGTCAGTGGCGCAGGAAGCAGGGTGATGATATTTTGTTCAACTGGAAACACTGAGCCATGTAAGTGGGTTTGAAAAACTGACTGAGGTAACATCGCAGGTTTGTCTATCAGAAGAAATATATTACCTGGACATGAGAAATAAACTGGCTTACTGGTGAAAGATAATGGTGGAGTGGTATTTGATGACACAATGCTATTGGACACTGACTCATTCTTAACTCCTGTATTGGCGGAATGATTCGATGGGTTTACTTTTGCGTTTGCGGAAATGGCTGCCTTCGATGCTGTGAGGTCTCCAGTCTGGATATGATCTCCACAGCCAACTTGAGAAAACTGGACGTTGCTGTTTCCGAATGGTTCAGAATAGACAGTTGCTTCGACACTTGGAAGAGATGAATGTGGAGAATTATTTTGAACCTCGTTTGGTTGGCTAAAACTGGACATTGCTGAAGTAGAATGCAAGGACATAGGCAGTGGACTTGTAGACTGAACTGGCGAAATATTTCCAGCCTTTGATGTTTGACTTAGTCTCTTATTATTATCAACTGTCAAATCCTTTTCTTCTGAGACATCTACGCTACTTTCACTGTCCTCGTCTGGTCTGTATCTTTTTGGAGATGTGGAGCTGTCAGCCATGGTCTCCGTTGTTGTGGGAACTGTTCGTTTACTTCCGGTCAGTTGGCTGTTTACATTGTCTGCTTGGGAATACTGCTGGCTGAGCATCTTCCGGCAATGAGAGGTCAGTTTATGAGTGACGCTGCTGTCGATGACCCCACGCTGTGAATGCATGAACTCTGACATTTCCCTGACGCACCGCTCGACTCCTCTCTCGTAGGCACTTTGAAGACAGGAGATAGGGGATCCTAAAATAAGATAAGTGTACATTATATCAATATTTCTACAACGGTTTCTGTGTGTAGTTGTACATGTCCAACTCGCAGCTTCAGTGTATTAATTATACTTACAGGTAAAGCAATTAGGCAAGGAAACTTTGCATGGTAACAGCGCCTCCAGTTATACAATGGTAGACTCGTGTTACTAATGATGTCCACATCTGTGTTATCAATCCATAAAATACAGAAAACAACCAAATTGTTCTCCAGTGGATCCCGGTTCACTGCGGCATACCAGGAAATGAGTTAGCTGACAGACTTGCAAAAAATGGAACAAAGGAGAAACAACACGCCCGTTCATTGTCATTACCCGAAATCAGAACACTTATCAAAGGAAAATACAAGGGATTGTGGAGAGAACAAACTAACAGTAAACATCCACATGACCCTATCAGCAGACTCAACAGAAAGCAACATACAACAATTTTCCGTCTACGAACAGGACACTGCAGGCTCAGCTATCACATGCATAAAATAAAGATTGTACAGTCCCCGCAGTGTGTCTGTCAAACAGGACCCCAAACGCCTGAGCACATTTTGCAGACCTGCCCACTCTACCTGCAACTTCGAAAAGATACCTGGCCTCAAGAGCAAAGAGTGCAGAGCAAGCTATGGGGAGCAATGCAGGACCTGCAGCTGACATGCAAGTTCAGGGAGGCAACCCACCTGATGGTCTGATCTGAGCATACGAAACCGAACGCAAAGAAGAAGAAAAAGAATCCATAAAATTAATATGATGACGTTGTTTTGATCTTCAGCACTATCACACTATTCTTAAAGTTCTCCTTGTTGTCGTCGTTGTTTTTGTTGTTATTGTTATTCTTCTTGTTGTTGAAGTTATTGTTGTTGTTGTTGTTCTTCTTCTTCTTGTGCTTGTTGTTGTTGTTGTTCTCCTTTTTCTTCTTCTTCTTCTTCTTCTTCTTCTTCTTCTTCTTCTTCTTCTTCTTCTTCTTCTTATTCGTCATCATCATCATCATCATCATCTTTTTTCTCCCCCTCCCTCTCCTCCTCTTCCTCTTCTTTGCTTCTTTTTTTTCATTATAATAATAATAATAATAATAATAATAATAATAATAATAATAATAATAATAATAATAATAATAATAATAATAATAATAATATGAGGTTTTAACTTGAGCCACCAATCTCCACCTGTATCCCTGAACCTCTCTTCCACCGTGGTTCCACGGGCTCAAGTCAAGCACAACCTTCTTCGCTCCTTCCTTCACCACCAGACCACCTTGGTGAGAATGATGCAGGGGGGAGTTGACGAGAGGTTCTGGCAGATGATCGAGGCTCAGAGGAAAGAAAAGACGGAGGTTTAATCAGAATGCTACTGGGACCATTAGTATCGGAACTCTTCACTGACTGCTGAAAATGGGGACGGAGCAGTTATAGGAATGCCCCGAGTGCTGTAATGTCGGTTCTTGAATCAACTCAACTTAATAAAAATAATAATTATCTCCTTCTTTTCTTTTCTCTCCTCGTCCATCTCGTTTCTTTCTCAACTCCTGCTGATGGACTTCAACTTCCTACTGTGGGCTTTGAATTAATTAGAAAATATCAGCACCCCCTCTTCTCTCTCTCTCTCTCTCTCTCTCTCTCTCTCTCTCTCTCTCTCTCTCTCTCTCTCTCTCTCTCTCTCTCTCTCTCTCTCCCTTCCTCTCTCACTCAGAGCTAAACATATCAGCCTCAGTATGGAAAGTTTTACAGTGCGTTCAATCCGAAATCTTCATTTTAAAGACTAGATTCTTTAAAAACTATAAATGTACAGCTTCTGGGCATCAGCGAAACAAACCTTCGTGGCTGAGCTGTCTGATGTATTCAACGGTCATTTCCAAGATGTCAGCCTTCTCCAACCTGTTACCTCGGACATTCTGCGGAATAGAAAATGTCAGTTTAAACGACATTGTTAACGCTATTAGTGTCGTAAATGTTGCAGTCTGAAAAATGGCGCGGGTGGTCAGTCTTCTCCTGATAGTGGAGAAGGTCGCATGATATCAAGTTTTAAGCATTTACAAATAACGGCCAATAAAAGCTGATTATTTCTTTTTTTTACTTTCTTAATTAAAAGAGGCGGTTGGAACGTTGTATTGTCGAATATAGGCAGGCGGCGATATCTGCTTTTTTCGGCAAGACATATCCAGTTTCAGCAAATCCTTAACTAGTCACCTATTTTCGACATGCTCATAGGGGCAGTAAATCAATCCTCCACCCCTTGTCGACATGCTCATCAGGGGCAGTAAGTCAGTCCTCCACCCCTTGACATGCTCATCAGGGGCAGTAAGTCAGTCCTCCACCCCTTGACATGCTTATCAGGGGCAGCAAGTCAGTCCTCCACCCCTTGTCGACATGCTCATCAAGGGCAGTAAGTCAGTCCTCCACTCCTTGTCGACATGCTCATCAAGGGCAGTAAGTCAGTCCTCCACTCCTTGTCGACATGCTCATCAGGGGCAGTAAGTCAGTCCTCCGCCACTTGTCGACATGCTCATCAAGGGCAGTAAGTCAGTCCTCCACCCCTTGACATGCTCATCAGGGACAGTAAGTCAGTACTCCGCCCCTTGTCGACATGCTCATCAAGGGCAGTAAGTCAGTCCTCCAATCCTTGTCGACATGCTCATCAGGGGCAGTAAGTCAGTCCTCCACCCCTTGACATGCTCATCAGGGGCAGTAAGTCAGTCATCCACCCCTTGTCGACATACTCATCAGGGGCAGTAAGTCAGTCCTCCACTCCTTGACATGCTTATCCGTCCGCCACCCCCCCCCCCCCCCCCCACCCCTCTCTGCTTCCTAACAAGCATGTTATAAAAAGTGACTAATAAGGAGTTTGCTAACATTTTATGTTTTGGGCCGAAAAGCAAATATCTCGCACCCTAGCTGTAAACCACAACACAAGGTGCAAAAAGCCAGCCATTTTAAGGGCGAATTAAGAAGACGCATTATACCCTTTTTTTATGGGATGGTGTGTACGTGGAGAAGACAGAAACGATGGTTATAGCAAGGAAGACACAAGCAACAAAATGTAAAATTACAATAGAATAGAAGGGCCTCTAGACAAAAGTTAACAATAAAAGGGCCCGTCTTGTGTTTAAGCAGGTGCAACAGGTTCAGCAATTCAATGACAATTATGTATATATGTGTGTAAGTTGTACCCCACCAGGACATCACACAAATTGCCACCATGCGGACGAGGATCATCCGTGGAGAGGTCCCCAAAAACCCTTTCAGCCGTTAAGCCATATTAATGGCACGGCTATATTCAGGTCCCCCAGCAAAAGCCAGGGTGGGGCTTCCACCCCCCCCCCCCCCCCCCCCCACAAAAAAAATGCATCCCACATGAGGACGATTTGTTATGATAATTATAACACCTGATGGAAGATGGGCAACTAAGATTAAAAGCAGGATCTGCCAGGCGTTTGCGGAGTTTCAAAAGATGAGACATTTTGGTATGCAACAATTCTCTCTCTAATTAAACGAAACGAAGAAAAAAGAGGAATGAAATGTAATGTTGAACCAGTGCTGATGTGTAGCTGCGCATTTTGGAATGTGAATAACAAATTAGGAGGTTTGAACAACGGATCAACATCATGGCACAAGGGTAGTAACCATTAGTGCTCCGTTCTACTTGTTACTCGAGTCCGAAGCAGCTCAGCGCAATGCACGGGCTCTGTAGCACCAGCCAGGACCCTGAAAGAGTGTGGGTAGATTTTAAACTCCAAATTGTGCCCGGGCACCGCCGTTAGACTACTCTTTTAGATTTCCAACTGCCGAGAGAGGTTTTTTTTTACGTGTGCAACAATACACTTACTACCCAGAGACCAAGAAAAATTACTAAAAGTCTACGTGAAGAAATCCCAGCCTGCACCGGGGTTTGAACCCGGGACCTCCAGCACTCTGGGGGGGGGGGGGGATGCTATGATTCCAGACCTGGCTGCCCCCATGCGTGGCAGTCTGAAGCGACGACTTGGTGCAATATTATCAGTGGAACTGATTCAAAATACCGTACATGATGATGATAATATTTGCATGTTTATGATTTCGTCTGCATCTCTGTCTATATACCTCTCTGCCTGTTTTTATGTTTGTCTTTATATCGACCTATCAGTCGATCTACTTGCTGTATGTCTGTCTGTCTACTTATGGGCCTAAGTACGCATGCACCTACCTAGTTATATACCTGCCTACATACCCCTCTCCCTGCTTGCGTCTACCTATCTACTTTTCTACCTGTCTACGATCTTACATATCTGTTTAACCCATATAATAAGGACCACGCCTTCTGGCGGCGTATGGGCATCTAGGGCCAGACAAATCGGCACTCGGTGGGTGATGTGGCCAACATCACGCCGGCCGCCTTTACTTTCTATGATATTGCCTGGTAGCCATTTAAGGCAGGGTCTACCTGGGAGCCAAGGTATATATGTAAATATATATTTTAATAGTCGTGTATCCTTTACAGGACATTGCAGAACCAACCCCAGCAACTTCTGGCTGTTGTGATTTTTCTAGGCAAATTTACGTCCAGTAGTTTGTCATTGCTCTCAACGGTCGGTTCTCGGTACCAGGGTCGAAACCATCGCAAGACAAACCACCCGCATCAGGGATCGAACCCGGCACTACGACATTACGAAGCGCGTTCGCAACGTCTAAGCCACAGACGCCAACTAGTTAATTATAAATCCGCTATACGGTCTGTGCTATATATGTACGTATCGTTTTATCGTTCACCTACTTAACAATAAACTAACAACCCGCAATCTTCCGCCTTCTTCCATCCCTCCCCAACCGCTCAAAGTTCACGAACTGACACGAGACAGCCCCGAGTTTCAATTAGGACCACAAATTTGCAGAGGGATCTACCTGCGCCCTTTTAAACAAGCGGCCTGGGTACGTCCAGGATTAGTGTCTCTAGACAAAAACTTAAGTCCCCAAATCCTTTCTCCGTTGGGGAAAACCTAGCCGGGGCTGCACGTGTCACCCTTGTAGATGAAACCTCCCCCCTGTCAGTTACGGTCCTTTCGTGTGACATAATTTACAGTGAAAGGACCCTAATGTCTACTCGTGAAGGGGAGCCATTTATGTTCACAGTGACATGCGCAGTAAGGATGTCTATGGCAGGCATAATGATCAAATAATTGCTCTGATAATATCCTCGTTATACGGAGCCGCGTGGAATTTCCGAAACGAAAAATGTGGCATACCAAGTTTTTAATATGGAGAGAAGAATCACATTAACAAGTTAGAAAAGGAGATGAGGGAGACCCTTGTTCACAGAATTGGCGAGGGAAAGAAGGAAACGGTGAGGAATTGCGACAGTGATGTATTTAAATAACCTGGCACACGAGTTTACAGCAGAAAGAAACGAATTCAAGAACAACAAAGAACGGTAAATAATCCTCTTGTGCGTGCCCCTTTCGCGAAACTCTTTTATGCGAAAATATAAATGGAATTGCTTGGCCTAACAGGCTTTTCCTTTTTCTCTTAATCTGTCCCATGCGAAACGAGCGTTTGTGATTACGACTCTTATATGATATCTTCACTTATAATCTAATTAGGAAGATATATTACTTCTTCTTCTTCCTCATCCTTCTCCTCGCCATCATCGCCACCACCATCACCACCATCACCACCACCACCACCACTTCTACTACTACTACTACAGCTACTACTACTACTACTACTGCTACTACTACTACTACTACTACTACTACTACTACTACTACTACTACTACTACTACTACTACTACTACTACTACTACTACTACAAACTACTACTACTATTACTACTGCTGCTGCTGATGCTGCTGCTACCACTACTACTAAACAAGACATTTACCTGGCCGCTTCGACATTTTAAGCTAAGTAATTCTGTGTATTCGTGAGTTATTGAAATAATTATGTATGTGCTGATGAAGGCTCCATATCCGCAACGTTAACGTTTTGTACTACTGCCACTACCACCACCAGCACCACCACCATCACCACCACCACCACCAGTACTACCGAGGCAGTTGTTGCAGCTACTACTAGTGCTACTATCACTGCAGCTAATATTACTAATACTGCCTGGCTCGCTAGCGTATTCGGTTAAACCTGACTTCGCGGCGACCGGTTGACGAACTCTGTGTGGTCCGGGCTCACGCCTGGTGGTTGGCATAAAAGCCACATTTCTCCCAGATGTACGATATCTATCATGGAATCAAGGCCAACGGGTTGCGAAATCCGTAGTACCGAGCCAAGGGGTTAACAACTCATGGTTTATGGATATAAAAAAAATAAAACCACTAATACTTCCTTGTTCTATAGTTACCGACCTAACTCAAATGTTTATGATTCACCAATAATCACTATGGAAATGAGGTGTCTGCGATAGTCTGTAGAAGTGACCAGAAGAGATCAAATCAGGAATGAGGTCATAGAAGGTGAAGTCGGCACAGAACCAATTCTAAATTACATACAAAGACGGCAAATTAAATGGTTTGCTCACTTGGAGAGAATGCCTCCTGATGCTATAGCATGCAAGGTATATACCAAAAGAGGAGAGAGACATAGATCTAGAGGTAGACCAAGAACAATATGGAAAGATAACGTCAGAGAAACTCTACAGCACGACGATGTCCTTATGGTCGAAGCAGCAAGAAAAGCAGGTCTGAGCACGAAGCAGGACCTTATATCAACCTCGACACCCGAATCTGTCAAAGAGGACGTAAGAAGAAGAAGAATAGTCACTATCATAGTAGTAGCAGCAGCAGCAGCAGCAGCAGCAGCAGCAGCAGTAGTAGTAGTAGTAGTAGTAGTAGTAGTAGTAGTAGTAGTAGTAGTAGTAGTAGTAGTAGTAGTAGTAGAAATAGTAGTAGTAGTAGTAGTAGTAGTAGTA